GGCGGGCTGCTTTCAGCTAGTCCGCCAGTGCCGGCCGGACTGATAGGAAGGCGCACGCTGACAGGAAACAGAAACTCCTGTTCCGCGTGGAGTATCTGTTTCCTTCAACCGGCCGTACTGACAGGAAGTGCACACTCAGTGTGTGCCTTCCTATCAGTCCGGCCGGGCACCGCGGACCAGCAAGCAGCTCGGCCACGCTACAGGGGAGGGGAGGGAGGAGCAGCTGCAGCCGCCTGAGGCTCTTCACAGAGCGCTCAGGCGGCTGCAGCATTTAAAGGGCCGGCCCTGCAGCTGCCGGTCCCAACAGAATTTAGGCCGGCCTGGGGAGCAATTGCCTCCCTGCCCCCCGGCCCAGCCCACCCCTGATAATGGGTATGTAAAATGGAGAAAAATAAACAAACAAATTCACATGTTTAGCAGATAAAATGATGCATTCAATACTATTAATATTTGAAAATTGTAAAACTGTAAAAAAGAATGTAAGAGCGAAAGAAAGAGATAATTCTGTTCCGCGTCTGAGAGAAAAAATTCTGCTTCCAGATGTTGTTGTTTGGACTCGCCTATACTTGTACAATATGGGAAGGTCGGTATACTTCAGTTTAAATCACTGTACAACAAAATAATTGTTCTGCAGGCCCTGGAGAGGGAGCCTTACCCTGTTCATAAGGTGCCGAGACTCCCAAATTTTCCAGGACAGTTTGTATTTTGAAATACTGTCCAAGCAAAAATGAGTCCTGGGGATCTGTCCCACTTTTTGGAAGCAGAGGACTAGGCACTAGGAATGCCCCAGAGGGAATCAGCAATGCTCCCTGCTGTGGCCATCCTTTTTAGAGGTCATTTCGTACTCTTGCTTAGTAGTCCCACCCGTGACACAGTGCTTTGTGCAGCCAGCTCTCTTTCGTGGCCATCTCCCTCATGACCAATATGTATTAACTGATAAGAGGTGATTGAAAATACAATGCTACTTACCTGGTAGATAACTCCTTTTTATAAATAAATATTATAATGTGTTGGTACATGGCTGATTTGTATGACATACACTAAGGACTAATGTTAGCTAAAAAAATAGATAATTAAAACATCAGAGAGCTCAGGAGAACTTTCTGTAGATTTTTGCCCCAACCCCCAATGCCTCTCTTTTGCCTTTAATGTCCCTTTAAAACGTCACTTTAAAAGATGCATAACTTATATTCTATCTGGGATGAATGTTTTATTTACTGCTTCATATCACAGAGCTCCACAGTAATAAGGCTCTCAGCAATGTGCGGTGGGAATGAGAGCTTCACAGAGCTCCGCAACAATAAACCTCACAGTAATATGCAGTGTGAATGAGAGCTTCACAGAGCTCCAAAACAATTTGTGAAGATGGACCAGCCATTATACACAAACCATTCATCGAAATTGCATCCGAGGAGTTTGGGATGCTGCGGAAATTAAATAGATGCAGCCCTGTTTACTCTAATCAATCCTTGAATCGATATCTAATAGAATAGAACCGCCACTGATACAGAGAAAGGTATTTTAAAAACATCTTTATTTACCCAGAACATACAAAAATAGATTGTGAGCTGCGTGGGCAATATACAATCCCAATTCCAGTAATCTCTGTGTAAAGTTCCGTGATATCGGTATCATCGAAGCAATGTCCTTTGAACATATAATATGAAATCAATGTCACCGATATCATTCCTCTATCCAGGGTCTTTTAGGTTCCCTGACATTTACCTAATTCCTTTTAATATTTGGTTTTAAAGACGGTTCTTGCAAATGAGAAAAGTTTAAAAAAGTTATTGTTTTCAAAAATATTGTGTCTAAAGTTTTGAGCTGGAGGAGAAATGTGCTTTATATGAATTTCAAATCTC